CAATGTCTCCATGTCTCCACTTATGATGGGTTGCTCTTCCTAATGCTTCGCGCTTCTTTCACATCTTCTCTCCCAATTGAGATGCAATGCGCCAGGCTCGTTGATTCGAATGTGGAGTACTTTGCAACATTGATATTGATGGATATGCACCCGAAACCTTTCTCCTTACCCGAATTGTAAGTAGCTACCTTTGGCGCACTCTCCATATTCTATGCGATCTTGTTTGATCTGAATTATATGTGTGGGAGCCAATGCTAATTCGCTTTCTACGTATTACAGCGATCAACTATTTATTCACCACATCCATTCGAGCTCCAAGACAACCTGATTTTCGCCCTGTGTCTAGCCTCGCGCAGTTGATATACATTGCATTCGGTTTGCCGCGAGCGCAAATCTTCCAGTCCACAGCAGCCTTACAAAACAACACTTGCACGTTTGGGGACTTTTGCGACTTGTGCCGATCAAATTTCCAGAGCCTCGGCAAGTTGGTCGCGGCATTTGGACAACCTGAAGTCATTGAACAACGCCTCCAACCCTTGATGCGACCATAACCGTTGTCTGTCCCCGATTAATCCACTTGGGCTTCGAGACTACTGCGGCATCCCACGATCCTACCTGTGCTCTTCATTCATCCTTATTGTCTCTCGGCGCAATTGGATCGCTCGCGACAAATCCCCTTCTCGCGGAGCGAGGTTTGACCTCTGCCTTCTCTTTCGCACATCGACAAACGTCCTTCAATTTCCCGAGGCAGGTCCTTGTGGATAGAACTTCCAGAACAGTCTTTTCCTTGCCTTTTCTTTTTTCCCTTTCTTCTTTCCATTTCTTGATACCCTGATAGTCGCTGAGTTACCTCTACCGTCACACTTTCCGCCGTTTTCAAACCCCCGATACTTTCTATCGAACCAGCAAGTATGCAAGGTTATTCATTTGCGCCCCCATCGGGCCCCCCAAGAGAAGGCCAAAAAAGTATGTTCCTCATAATCTATCACTTGCATGTTGGACTAACCATTCATCGGCGCTAGACTATGTATTTGTTGATGAGCATAACCGCCATAAGAGGCTGAAGGGTATGCAAAGCGTCCAGCACAAGCCAACAAATACTGACAAGTCGTTTAGTGATGCGAGCCTGTAATGGTTGCCGGAAAAGGAAAATCAAGTGTGACGCAGCCACGACAAATACGTGGCCTTGCTCTGCGTGCACTCGTCTAAAGCTGGTTTGTGTCCCTCCGACCATCGGACAAGATGGAGACTTTCTCCCTGATGGCCAGGGCGAGTCTACTCTAGAGACTGGAGGACCCTCCAATGCAGCGGAGGGCTCTCACACATTTTCAGCGGCCCCAGTTTTCAAGGACAACAGTCAATCAACCATGAACACTATCCCCCACTATGATCAAATGAGCATGTATTCCCAATTCGTCCCTCAGGCTCAGCCCAGCATCTACAACGATCTTCAGTCACCACCAATGGCAATGTCACACCAAACTTTCCAACAGCCTCAAATGTTCCCCGGGCCGCAAACTCCATCGATAGGATCAGATCGGAATGTGTATGTTGATAACGATCAGTCAACTGCAGAAAACCTCAGTGATGTACTAGGGGAGTTAAAGATTGACGAGAGTGGGATTGGTATGGCACATTGTTTTTCTACGGATTTTCCCGCGACTAATGGCTAACACCCCACCTCCTTCGATAGCCCCATACATTAGAAGGCAACGCACCGATCGAATTGAGCCCGATGCCCCTGTCCAGGACGAGGTTGAAGAGCAATTTCCACCTCTCAGAACCGGTTCGGGTGTGACGATTCGAATTCCCCCTGAGCTCATGCCTGCCGAAGACGACGTTATGACATATTTCAAGATCTACTTTGATGAGATACACCCCTATGTTCCTGTCGTATCTCGTGCTCATCTGTACTATCAATGGCAGCATGATCGCCATTCCATCTCTCCCCTTCTTCTCGAGGCCCTTTTTGCCTGTGCAGGCCGTTTATCTGATGAGCCCGCAGAAGGCGCCCAGTGGCTTGCCTTGGCCAATAGTGAGTCCATGCTGAAAATTCGTCCACCTCATCTTCAAAAGCTGACACCTCTTAGGGCACGAGACTAGCTTTATGGACGTGCCCCGTTTGAGTACTATCCAAGCATTACTTCTGCTACTAAAAGCAAGGGAATCATTGCCAAAGAAAGGGTACTATTACCGGTCCTGGCAAACTGTCAAGACTATTGTCTCAATGGCGAAAGATTTGGACATCCACGAACATTACAGCAATCACGCCGAAGGCAAGCCGTGTGGACTCAGCCCAATTGAATGCTTGGTGCACACCAGAGTGTGGCAGGCTCTCATGGTGGTTGAGGTGATGATCGGTGGGCCTCAGGGTAAGTCCATTCCGTCCCATCATCCGTGAGAAAAAAAAAAAAAAAAAAAAAGTAGCCTCTGATCAAAATAGGCCGTTCGGATTACGGGGTCGACCCTGAAACAGTGGACATGCGTCCGACACTAGATATCAGAGGCCTCGATCATTACGAGCTCGACCGCTCAAGACAATACGCCCATTTCGTTCGCAACGCACATCACATCCGCATCATCACAGATATCTACCATAAAGTTAAGAAGCAAAAGGATTGGGGCGCAGATGCCCGATTTGTACAAAACAACCCGCTTTTCTCAGACTGGCTTCGCAATCTTCCTCCAGATTTACAGGTCAATTACCCTACCGATGGTTCTCCGCCGTGGCTTCCATCTCATTTTGTGGGCAATATGCATTCTCATTGCCACCTCGCCATTATTATGTTACATCGCCCTCAACTTTTCGCTTCTCAATCTTTTGCAGCCGGTGGTGAATGGAAGATCCATATGTCACTGTGTTACTCCTCGGCAAAAAGCCTTTGTCGACTACAAGAAGCCATATTGCAAAGGTTCGGGCTATCTGGCCTACTTTACATGCAAAGAGGCATCAATTTTGCCATTTATTGTATCCTGACTTGTACGATGCTGCACCTGGTAAGCACTCAACAATATATGGGATTTTTCCCCCATAGCAAAACCATTCTAATCCGAGCAGGTTGCAATTACCTCCCCCGACCCTGAGTTCAATTCAGATGCTCGTGAATTTTTCACCCGTCATATGAGAATTCTCGAGACGTGCTCCACTGCTTGGCCCATGGCCGAGATTCAAGCTCAGATTGATTCATTAAGACTGGCTTTCTCCGCCGACATGCATCGTCCTTTCGAGTTGAAGCCCAGTTTCCCATACGGGAGTCCCTCAGAACCCTACCATCCCAGTCCACCTATGGATGCGCACTACCATCCGCACTTGAATCAACTCCAATCCAGAGTGCGTTACAATCCGCTTCCGGTAACCCCTCCAATTTCGACTGGTGCTGAAGACTCGAAGTCCGACGCATCTTCTCAGATACAATCCCTCGGAATGGTTGCCCATCAGCCTCCGACAACTCACCCTCTAGATCCTCCTTCGGTCGATGAAACCCATTGGGACCCGACCCGAATCATCACGTACGTACTGGATTTATCGACAGCTCGAGTATCCATTCGCTTAGTCTCTTACTAATCTCTCGCTCTAGTCAATGGGACATGGCTTTCTCTGTGAATCCCTCTACCGTCAGCGCAAACTCCCCGCCAATGCCTATAAACAATTCAGTGCCGGGTGTACAAAATGTTATGAACTCCCAATACCCCGTCCAGTACGAGACACCCAACAAAGTGCCCTCTGTCGCGTCTACCCAGTCTCTCTCGCCTCCCCAGTTCCAGGCCCCCCCAGTTGTGTTTTCAGCGCGAGACTGGCAGCAAAGTGTTGCTAGTGTTTATGATCCACAAGGGCTGAAACGGCGATGGAATTACCCAGTTGATGTTAGCCCCGACAATATATCCAAACGCCAACGAGGATGAGACGCACAAGTACACAAATCATCTACCACCCTCCAGGGTTGTCTCTGTCCCATTCAGTCGCCCAATTTTTCCTCTTTTGGCCTGCTAGCTTTTATCCAACTATCCCAGGCAACCATTGCTATTGTCACTCTATGCTACCTATTTTCTTTTTCTTTTTGGTAAAATCTCTATCTGTTCTTCTTTTTGCATTACAAGCGCCGGTGGACATATGCATAGCTCAACGAAAAAAGCTTGGGGGCAGAGATATCCAACCATCGTGACATCTTTGACCAGCCGGGACGATGATTGATGCATGAATCCCTTTGTACATCACTAGCTTGCTTTGATAGGTCTCTTGGGAACTGAATTTAGAAAGGAATTGACAGCCGTGGAAAAGACATTATTTAGATCGCTGGACATGCCAGTAGAGCAGTGGCAAGGTAGCATTTGTCTTATTTGGAAGGGATTTTTAGTTTATCCTCGGTGTATATGTTGCATTCCGTGTCCATTTTCAAGCTACAGTATCTGATCAAAGCAAACAAGTCTTCGAAATATGCCAAAAGAGAGGGGGGTCACTTAAAGCTTCAGTTTTGGTCGAGATGTCCCATAGGTGTGATCTTGATGAACAATGTACTATGCGTTGTTTTCTGTTTTGTCGAGAAGATATTTCAATGCGCCATTTCGCTTCCAGTATTGAATCAACGTCCTGATCAATGGACCACCATAGGCGAAATGGTGACATATGCTAAGGTATCAGTAGATATTGGCAGAGGGGAGACCCATATCATATCAATGTCATGATCATCTGACGCTTGAAAAGCACCACGCTCTATGATTACCCTATCACTCGCCGTAATACGAGGAGGATAGTGTATGATGATGCGTTGATGTATGGGACTGGTGTTGTGTTTTATCGCCAAAGATCCTATACTATTTGTTTCTTGTTAATGATGAATGATATGACTCAAAGAAAAAAAAAGAAAGCAGTCAAGGGCCAATAAACGCATGTGAGCATATCACAATTGGGTTATGTACCTCATATCCAAGCGTTGTGGTATGGAATAAGTCGTTCCAACATGCAACGGTGATCTAGGGACTCGAGATCACGGTATAGACAGTCAGCCACGCCGACTAATGCCTATCCTCTCTTCACGGGTCCGAATAATCCTAGCCTTGTCACCAGGGAGTGGTTTCAGCTCATCGCTGGGGTCAAGGTTGGCATTGGAGGACCCTTTTGCGTGTTGTTCTGGGTGTTTGTTTTCTTCAGACAGTTTCCGAAGTCTGGCTTCTTCAAAGGCAGCAATGTCTTCAGAAGTTATAGCAATAGCCGTTGGCTTTCGACGAAGCATTTTGGCAGTTAAAAGGTATTGCAATGAATCAAAAGGAAGACGTGACGATGGCTGTGTTTACTTGGTAGAGGAGCGCAGAGGAAGGCGGTGCATCACGTGATTGCAATTCTTCATTCAATCTTTCCGCGTCGAACAGTATTGAGTCTCTTTACCAAAAACGTTCTAGGGACACGACCTGGTTTGTTCAGAAGACAATATGTTTCGGCCACAGCTGAGGCAGATTTCGCTGCACTGTGAGCGGGCAAACTTCGGTCTTTCTGCACCCACTCGCCAGTTCTCCTGTACTCGTACAGTGGCCGCCGAAGAAGATCGAACCCAACCATCCGGTAGGTACATCCAGAAGGGCATTGAGCAGGATAAATCCGATTGTGCAATTGTGCCGTGGAATTTGGTTAGGGAGTTTGAATTCTAACACACGCTCATTAGACAACCGTAAACCCAATACCCGCCCTTCATCGGCTACACCTTCCCACCAGCCTCGCAATCCTAATGGCCCCCCAGCTCGCACCAACCAGTATCAAGCTCGTCCTCCTCGAGTGATTGATGCTAGATCTTTTGCGGCGGCGCGAGCTAGCGGGGGAGAGCAACCCAAGATTATCCGCAGCCCGAGATCACGCAACGTTCGAGGGGGCAACCAACCCCCAAATCGCAAACCCAAACCCTCCGCCAAAGCTGCCAAAGCCGCCAAGGGTAACCGAAAGGGCACACGCAGGAACGCAAAATCTTCTGAGAATGACGAGGGCGAAGATGCCGAAGCGGCTGCTATCGACGAAGTTCTGCAGGAGCAAATCATCAAATCTCGGCCAACCCCTATTCGCTATGAGCCCCAGGAGGTTAACTACTCTACTTTGAAAAAGACCTGGCCTTCGATTCCCACAGACGTGAACTCGCGTTCGGCTGCCATCTATGAAAAGATTTCCGGCCTGGGCGGCCGCATTGCCGATGGCTATATCCCGCCCCATGAGCTTGGAAGACGCTTGTGGAAGGGCCAGAGCGTTTTGTTCAACAGCGAGAATGAGAAGTCTGAAGCTTTGGAAGAGACCAAGCGACTGGCTCAGCTTCGTGCCGATCGAATTTCACAGCGCAAGGGTGACCTTGTGGAACCTCGAAACGTCGAGTTTAGTCCCATCGACGCAAAAACCACCAAGTCTCTCATGGCAACGTTCGTCCAGGGTGACTACCCCACGTGTGAAGTCGGGAAAGATGGGCATGCTGTATTGGGAGAGGTGTTGAAGAACCTCCGGAATAACGGGACCTACCAGACAACTGGGAAGACCTCACAGTTCATGGCCAAGATTGAATCTCTTGTTTCTGCTGGCCCCAAGACCAAGAGCACCTAAGGATATCCGAACTACTGCTAAGAAGTGATTTGTATTATATTTGTTTCGTTGATCGGGTTCATTTTCTCCATGTTTTCTCCCCATATCTTCCCCAATTATGCCTATGTCTGTACCTAGATTTACAAAGTCGTACTCTACAAAACGCCCATTGCCATAGGCTATAATCTTTTTTTTCCGCCGCCATTTCCCTTGGCTTGCGAATTGGGCTTCTCATGCCTGTTCCAATGTCTTCTTGGCCGCTTCAAATGCATCCTTCACCTCCTTTTGGCCCTGCTCTGTAACCTTCTCCATTTGATCGTGAGCCTTGCGCACGTCATCTGGTCGGGCGAGTTTCTTCTTCTGCATATCCTGGAGGCGTTTATGCATGGCACCCCTAGAGTCACGTACGACACCGGCAGCCTTTTCGAATGCTTGCTTGGCAGCTTGGATGTTCTTGTCCCGGGATTCTTTCGTAGGCGGTGGGATAGGGATATTAAGCTGAAGAGCGTTGTGAGGATCGGGCTGGGGGGTCAAGGAGAGGTTTGAGGAGACGATAGCTGAAGTCAGAGGTTTCAGGTGCTGTTCAAAATGTATTAGAATTGGTTCATTGGGACAGCGATAGCAGGCTCATGCCGCAACAAGAAAGAAGCTTTTTTTTTTTTTAAAAAAAAAAAGCCCCCCAGAGTGGTTGAGCATCATGAACTTACCTCCTCTTCGGCCGCCAAAAGAGTAACCATGCGTCCTCCCTTGGGCACAACCTGCGCCAGATCTCCCAATTTGGCCGAATCTTTGCTATCTTTGCTCAGCTGGACTCTCAAACTTTCTAGGACTGTAGTGTTGAACCGTCCTCCTGCGCGAAGCTTGGACAGATCATCTTTTAGCCGAGCAATAGCTGTGGAAATGCCATTGTGTAATTGGGAAAGATCAAAGGGATCTTCGGAAGGAGCACTAGAGCTTTCCTCAAGCTCAGAGGCAGAACCAGAAGCTTTCTTGGCCTTGTCCTTTTTCTTGTATAGGGCAGGTGAATTGGCAAACTCACGCCGATTGAGAGGAGTGGTGCGCTGGGTTCGGGGTAGGAGACATAATGGTCGAAAAGCCTGAGTCCCTTGAGGACGTGCAACAAGACGAGGGTAAAACGAGCGAATTGACTGAGTTATAATACGTTGCATGGTGGAAGCGATTGTTGTTAAAAGTTAACGAGCGGAGGCGCACATTTCAGAGGTATCTCTCCCACGTTACCCGGCCTTCCGCCTCGCGGCCCGAAAAGTCACTATATAGCAACGATGTAGAACTACGAAGTATTCCAAGTATTACAAGCATTACAATGAGAGGAGGATCATCACAATGTCATTAAATTGCAGATGGCGAACTTCGTCTACAAAAAACAAAACAAATCATACTTTTCAAGAAAAGAAAACTGCGCCCAAGTTGCCCGGCTTCATAAACAAAGCGTGACAGAGACCAACTCTGCCCAAGGTCTACATGGTGCAGATTCCCTGAGAAGTAGAGTCCCGGGAAAGAGGAAAATTCGTTGGCCATAAGTCTATGTTCATGTCTTCCCATGTATGCATTTACCGTGTGGCCATAGCCTTGGTAATCAGACGCTTGAGAGCAAGCTCCTTCTTCTTGAGGTCCTCGGGGGTGGAGTCCTCAACCTCGAGCTGGGCCATGGCGTCGCTGAGAGCAGACTCGATGCGCTCCTTGTTGCCGCGCTTGAGCTTCATGGACATGCTAGGGTCGGAGACAATCTCCTCGACACGGGAGATGTAAGACTCGAGCTGCTGGCGAGACTCGAAACGCTTGGTGAAAGCCTCATCGCTGGTCTTGAACTTAGCAGCATCTAAAAATCGTCAAGTTAGCATGTGGTCATAAGATTACAGTCTGCAGGAGAAACATACCGTCAACCATCTGGTCGATCTCGGCGCTGGAAAGCTTGCCAACAGCGTTGGAGATGGTGATGTTGGCAGTGCGGCCAGAAGTCTTCTCAGTGGCGGTAACCTTCAGGATACCGTTGACATCGACCTCGAAGACACACTCGAGAGCGGCCTCACCGGCGCGCATGGGAGGAAGGGGAGCAAGAGTGAACTCGCCCAGGGAGGTGTTGTCAGCACAGTTAGTACGCTCACCCTGGTAGACGGGGAACTGGACAGTGCTCTGGTTGTCGACAACAGTGGTGAAGGTGCGCTTCTTGATGGTGGGGACGGTCTGGCCACGGTTGACAACGGGGGCGAAGATGTTACCCTCCATGGCAACACCAAGGGAGAGAGGAACAACGTCAAGAAGGAGCAGGTCGGCGGTCTCAGCAGAGGTGGCCTTGCCAGAGAGGATACCGGCCTGAACGGCGGCACCGTAGGCAACAGCCTCATCGGGGTTGATGCTCTATATAAAAAGAAACGAGGTAAGTAACTGGGGTCTGACGGTGGATCAAATGGTGCGGTCTTATCTTACCTTCTCGAGCTTCTTGCCATCGAAGAAGTCGCTCAGGAGCTTCTGGATACGGGGAATACGGGTGGAACCACCAACAAGGACGATCTCGTCAACCTTGTTCTTAGCCATGCCAGCATCCTTGAGGACCTGCTGGACGGGGTCGAGGGTGCCAGAGAAAGCCTTGGCGTTAAGGTCCTCGAAACGGGCACGGGTGATGGAGGAGTTGAGGTCCTCACCGTCGAAGAGAGAGTCAATCTCGACGGTGGTCTGGGTAGCGTTGGACAGGGTACGCTTAGCACGCTCGCAAGCAGTGCGGAGACGACGGAGAGCACGAGCATCACCGGAGAGATCCTTGCCAGTCTTGCGCTGGAACTCCTTCTTGAAGTGCTCGAGGAGGTTAGTGTCGAAATCCTGACCACCAAGGTGAGTGTCACCAGCGGTGGCCTTGACGGTGAAGACACCACCCTGGATGTTCAGCAGGGACACATCGAAGGTACCACCACCGAGATCGTAGATGAGGACGTTACGCTCCTTCTCAGACTTGCCGGCGCCGAGACCGTAGGCGATAGCGGCAGCAGTAGGCTCGTTGATAATACGGAGGACGTTCAGGCCAGCAATGGCACCGGCATCCTTGGTAGCCTGACGCTGGTTGTCGTTGAAGTAGGCGGGCACGGTGATGACAGCCTTCTCAACCTTCTTGCCGAGCTTGATCTCAGCGACCTCTTTCATCTGTCCCAACTAGTCAGCAAACAAATCCCACAAAAGTGAAATATGTATTTCGCCATACCTTCATGAGGACCATGGAGGAGATCTCCTGGGGAGAGAAGACCTTGGTCTCGTTGAGGTACTCAACCTGGACGACGGGGTTGCCACCCTGGTCGATGACCTTGAAGGGCCAGGACTCAACATCCTTCTTGACGATGGGGTCCTCGAAGCGGCGACCGATCAGACGCCTGTTCCATTTGAGTTAGAACGAATGTGGAATTGTGGAGAATGCGCATATCTCGAATTGATAGACTGCGTCAGAAATTTTATCTTATTCTCAATACTCACTTGATATCGAAGACGGTGTTGGCAGGGTTCATGGCGGCCTGGTTCTTGGCGGCATCACCAATCAGACGCTCCTTGTCGGTGAAAGAGACGAAGGAGGGAGTAGTGTAGCTACCCTGGTCGTTGGCAACTGATCAAATGGTCAGTATTTCAGAGAAAAAAAATCGAATTTTAAGGAAACCGTACTGATCTCGACATTGGTGC